GGCCAACACAGGTTCGATGCCGGGCATCTCATGTGTTCCCCCAGGCTAGCGCCAGGAGTATGATGCCCTGAGCCAAAAAGTCTAAAGGCTCTTGCCCATCTATGAAGACAACAATGACTGGGTTAAGAGTGTCAAGAATTTGGAAAAAATTTTATAGTAGAAGCAAAAAAGAAATCTTGCTGATAGAAAGGATACAGAATATGATGTTATAAAAGGATTAATGATGAGTCACTCCTAGACGAGGGACAGGAAACACATAGGCAAGGATGAAGCAATGATTAGGTTGAGGAAAGAAACTGAAATACTGTATTACCATGACAGTGTCCCATAATACAAGATAATGAAGGGGGCAGAGTACCTGAGCAATCAGTCCAGCAAGACACAACGCTAGTTAGCAGCAAATTTGAGAAGTAAATTCAAGAAATGTAGTCCCAGAATCTAAATTTTTGGGGGGTGGGGGTGGTTTCTGACCAGATGCAGATGTATTCCGGGACATCTCCCAACTGTAATTGGGAGTCACTCCCAGCAATGCTCAGGGGACCACGCCTCTGAACTCTCAAGCCTAAACCTCCTAAAGATGCCCCCAAAGAAAACAATGTTAAATAAGGGTTCTGGTATTGAGCCCCAGCTCAGCTGAACATGAAGAAGTCACAAAAAGGACACACCAAAATTGAGAACATAAAATTAAACATAAAATTGGAAAAAGAATAGTGTCTTGGAAACCAAATGAATAAAGACAACAAAGAAGAATGCTAAGAGATCAACAAAACCAGCCTAGGACTGATTACAGGATTTGGCATGGGAACTCTGAAATAACAGCTTGGTGGAATAAGTTCCTTCATAACTAAAGAATTGAACTCATGCAGGCTTCAAGAAATTGAAATTGAATATCCAGACTCCATGATCAAAGTTGTCTGGAATCGCTGACTGGGGAAGATGCTCATTAGGAACAACACAAGATGACACTGTTCTGTATGTTAAGCGCATCCAACCCAAAATGGCACCTACTGGAATCAGATGGTCTTAAAGAAATGTCTCTGGGGGACTATGAAATCTATAATGGGACCAGGCCTGAACCTGAAGTTTATTGCCAACAGAGCAGAATTCCTTCTCCCTCTGCCTGCCCAGCTCATTTCTATCTCCCACCTTAATATGAATGTTTGTTCTAAAATACCCGTAGTACTTAAAAAAAAAAATCAGAAATTGGAGTCATAGTTCAACTTAGCAAAAAACGTAAAGCCCAAAATAAGATTCAATAAGTGAATCTTCGCCCAATGTTTATTAGTTTAAGAAACTGGCACAAATGACATGCTTGGAACAGAGTAGCAAAGAAATCAATTAAAGATCCTGTCCTCCTAGAGCTCACATTCTAATAACATGTCTAGGTGTTTCTTTGAGGGAAATGTTATCACCAGCATGCTGCCTCTTTATATGCAATGGCATCATACTATATCAATCAGTTCATCGGTTTCTGACTCACAGTTGCAAAGTTTGAATAAAGCTGAAGACAATTTTGAAAAAGTATAAATGTATAATGATTTAAGTTATCAATAGTATCAAATGTGTGTGAATACTTGAAAAACACTGACAATGTGAGAAAGAATATTGGGGTTTGCTGGCGGGTGGGGAGAGGCCTTCCAAGCGGTGTTCTTAAAAGCGGCTGGAGGAAGGCCAGCTCCCAGGATACTGCTGGGATCCAGCGGTGCCGGGGGCCACCAAAGTCACCTGGCAACACTGGGAGGTCATAAGGTGCCATGGGAATCTACCAGACTGTCCAAGGATTACTCACTGTCAGTCCCTGGTGAGTATTCTTAACTTGCAGACAGTAGTTTGGTTGATGGATCATGAGACAACTGACACAGATGCCAAAAGCGAACTTTAGCAGATTGGGAAAGCCAGGGAGATGGCTCAAAGGCTTTGTATGCATGAGACCCAGGTAGATCCCAGCACTTCACCATCCTCCAAGTCCAGTACCAGCAGGTAAGTAAAAAAAAAAAAAAAAAAAAAAAAAAAAGCAAGTTCAAGAGCCAGGGATGGGGCTCAAGTGTCAAAGCACAAGCCCTGCACTTGCAAAGCCCGGGGTTCAGTCCTAAGCACTCCATTCCATTGTTCTCTACATCCAACCACTTGTGTCATCTGAGGACCCCTGGATCCACTGGAAACAGCCCCTCAAAAGAGATTTTTTAGAAGATTTGCTCCTACACTCAAGAAATTTTACTCTCTAACAGACTCAACTGACTCACTCTCAATTCATTAAGTACCAACCATGTGGAAATCCCCCCAAGTAATCAGGATCATAATACAGGATACAACTATCATTAATAATTAGGATCATAATACAGAATGCAACTATCATTAATAATTAGGATCATAATACAGGATGTAACTATCATTAATAATTAGGATCATAATACAGGACATAACTATCATTAATGCCAAATAATATTATAAAGAGAATAAGTCTTAATAGGAATTTAGTGTAGAGATGATAATAAACTACAGCAGTGGGCCTTAACTGGGGGTGAGGGTATGTTGTGCCCCTAAGACATATTCAGCAGTTTTAGGAAACTAAATCAGCAGCTGAGGGTTTGAGGGTGCCACTGATTAGGAAACTAAATCGCAGCTGAGAGTTTGAGGGTGCCACTGATTTAATATATAGACAGTAGAGTCCAGGAATGCTGTTCAACACCCCACAAATCAATTATATTTTTCCAACAAGTACCATGACTGAGAAACCCCATGCCAGAGTAATCAGGAGGTGATTCCATTATGATCCTGAGTCTGTTGACTTTTAATTATGAAGAGAGAAAGGTAGAAGAAATAACAGAAGCAAAAGCACAAGGGAAGAAGGAGCTTATGTTGGAACTGGGTGATGTCGGCACTGAGAAAGATTTACCAGTAAATCTACTTAGGCAAGATGTAGCTCAGAGCTACGTGGCATGCTTCACACACCCAAGGGGGCAGGAAGACAGCAGAGAGGTTAAGGCACTTATTGCATGCATGTCAACATGCAGCTGACGTGGGTTCAATCCCTGGCACCACACACTCCTGAGCACTGCTCAGTGATCCCTGAGCAAATACAGCCACCAAACCCCACTAGGTGTGGCCAAATTCCACCCCCCCACACCCCTCCACACACACACTCCCTTCCCACCAAAGCAGCAGCCCTGGGTTCAATTCCAGACAACAACACAATTTATCTGACTCCAGTGAAAAGGCATGTTTAAAATTAGAGTAAAGGGTCCACAGAGAAAGCTCAAAGACCTGGAGAGTATGTTCTACATTAAGGAGGCCCACGCTGGATCCTGGCATGACATACAAGTCTCTAAAAACCCTAATGAGCAACCTCCAAGCACAGAGGCAAGAGTAATCTGCTGGGTGTGTCCCCCCAGCTCCAAAAAAGCAAAATAGGATGGTGACTGGATAGTTAGAAGTAATGTCATATATAGAAGTGGGAGACAAAAGTGTTAAGAAGAGTTTTAGTTTAAGCTCTGGTTAAAGAAACTGGTTTTAGTTGAGGCATTCATCACTCTTGTGCCAGCAGTGTCCAATGTACAGTGTGTGAAAAGTTATTTATCAAACTGAATGCATGTTTCCTAGTTATTCACTCTTACTGGAGATGGCTAAAGCCTGGTTCATTGCGAAGATTCACTTAAGCTGGAAAACACCAAGAAGCTACTACCACCAAGTGGTTGTGTGGCTACTACATAACTGCACTGTAATAGCATTCTACACATCATTCCATTTCATCAGCAACAGAATGTACTTTTTCCTCCCTTGAAAGATGAGCACTGGAACCAAAGGCAGCTTCCGTGGCTTAAAACACTGGCTTCACTCTCGGCTAGGAAAGCGAAGGTGACAGCACTTGAGCCCTTGGCTATTCAAAAACCTCCCAAACCAGAGTCAGTGGCTGGCTTTGTAAGGAAAAGGCGTTTTTGTTTGTTTTTGTCTTTAAGAAAAAAAAAAAAACTTCCTACTTTTCAAAAATTAGAATGCACAGAAACATACAAGGTGATCACCCCCAGCGCTCGGATCATTAGTGAATGTGACCCGGGGCAGGGGTTCTGGTCCGAGAGCCGGCTTCCTCTCCATCCACCCCTGCATGCCAAGTACTTGGTTCCCAGGTGCATCCAAACCACCCTATTCCCTCTTCTGCCAGATCACTCAAAAACGACATGCCCCCAAATGCATGGAAAGCGACCCCCTTAAACGGGTTTGTCCAGTACCCCTCTCCACAACCCCCCAAAAAAGAACCAACAACCAAGCTGCCTTTTGGAGGGCTCGGGTTGTGGACTGGGTCAGCACGGGCTCGGGTCATGGATTGGGACTGCAAGGGCTCAGGTCGTAGACTAGGTCTGCAGAGGCTGGGATCCTAGATTGGGTCTGCAAGGGGCTCGGGTCGTAGATTCAGTTTGAAGGTGCTGTCCAATATTCCAATTATTTCCCCGCGGCTAACACTTTTGGCGGGGGGGGGGGGGGAGGGCAAAGAGGTGGGGGGGGGGGGAGAGTCGTCCCTTAAAACCACGAACCTCGCTCCTGGCGTCCACAGTCCCTCCCTGCACCCCACCCCCACCCACCCGGGCAAGAAGCCCCCTCCCCCTCGCCCGCGCGCCCCGAGCCCCGAGCGCCGAGCGCGGCGGGACGCTGGATTCTGCAGCAGCGCGCAGCCCCCCGGCTCGGTCCCCGCGCAGATGCCCGCGCAGCTGCTGCTCCCGGGCCGCCTCCACCCTGCGCGCTGCCCGCGGCCCCCTCCAGGCGCGCTCCCACGCAGGCTCCGGGGGGGCGTCGAGAGCGGGGGTAGGGTGGTCTCGTTTCTTTCCAAGAGGATGCGCTCAGCAACCCCCACCCCCCCCACACACACACAAACACACACTCGTCAGCGCCCTCCAAACTCTCTTCTTCACTCCCCCCCTCCCCGACTCTGGGTGGTCCCCCCACCCCCCAGCCCAGGGGGTCCCGGATGGGAGGCCGAGAGCGAGCAACGCCGGGCACTCACTCACCCACATCCTGATCGAAGGGGTTGGTGGCGAAGAGCGGCATCTCCTCCGCTTGCCGCGGGGTCCGCAGGGGCTCCCCCTGGACACCGCGGGAGTCGGGCTGCGCCACAGACGCCGACTACTGAGGGGGCCGAGGCGGCGGCTCCTCCCGGCACTGACGCTCAGCGACCGCGGCGGCGGCGGCGGCGGCAGCGGCAGCGGGAGGCAACAGCGACGGAGCCCAGAGGACCCCCGCCCCCCACCGCGCGCGCGGAGCCTGTCGGGAACTTAGGCGCCCTCGGCACTGCCTGTACGGAGCCTGCCCCCTCTAAAAGGGTTGCCAAGCCCCCCGCACCCCCAGGCAGGCTCCACCTCCGCCGGAGTCCGCGGCTGTTTTTCTGCAAGGGAGAGAGAGGCAATGCCCGGCGTGGGCGGCCTCAGCCGAGGGGGCTTGAGCGGCGCGGCGGCGGCACCGGAGGTCGGGGTCCTTCAGGCACGCCGAGGGCAGCTAGCGGCTCCCCCGGGAGCGGGACGCTGAGCGAGCGCGGAGAGCGGGCGAGAGCGAGAGAGAAAAGGGGGTCGCCCGAGGGAGGGGCGAGCTCCCGCGGCGCCCAACTTTGCGGTCCCTTCTGGAGGCGGGCGGAAGCGCCTGCGTGCGGGAGGTGTCGGCGTGGGCTGGCTCGGAGGAAGCCGTTCGCTGTCCGAGGTGACGGGAAGAGCGCTCGGACGCCGAGTCACGTGAGCCGGGGCTGGCCGCCTCCCTGAGGGGAGTGTCGGGGCGTCGGCGGCCCCGGCGTGACTAACCGCGCCGTCAGTCGCTGGGGCGCTCGGCCATGGGCTGAGGCGTCTACACCGGGGCCCCCACACGAGCCAAAAAAAAAAAAGCAAGTTGAGAAATCAAGCTAGAAATGAGGGGTTTCCTGCCCACTGGGTAGGTGCGTGTTCTGTGTTCTCCGTCGTTTGTTTTGGGGGGAGGATGCTCCAGGGACCAGAATCCAGTTTGGGGCTTGCAAGCGCAAAGCAGGCACTCGGGCATTAAAATAACACAGAATGTGCTGAAAGTAGTTAAAGGACCAAACCGGACGGCCTCTCAGTATCTGTGTTGCAGATCATAATGCCCAAAAGTAGAGAGTATGGGGGAAACTGCCTGCCACTAGTAGAGGCAAGGGGAGGGGATGCTGGGGGCATTGGTGGTGGAAGATGTGCGCTGGTGGAGGGCTGGGTGTTCCATCATTGTATGACTGAAACTCAAACATGAAAGCTTTGTAACTGTAGCTCACAGTGATTCAATTTAAAAAAAAAGACTTAGTTTTTTTTTTTTAAAGTTCCATACTACATCCATCTTATTCCATCTTATGGGTGTGGACTGTGATGTGTTTCATCAAAATGAAGATTCCCACTCATAATTGTTTGGTACTCACCGTACCCTAGGCTTCTGAGGACTTTGTGTATAGTATTTCACTCGATCCCCAGAATCATATTACTCCTTTTTTTAATTTTTATTTTATTTTGCAGATGAGGATCCAGAGGCGAAGTCATTTGTCCAGTTCCTTCTTGTTGATTTGATAGTGAAAACAGCACTTTCACACACCTTTGGTAGCTTGATAGCTACTCCAGACTCATTGCTCAGAGGTAGCGCTGCAGAGTTGCTAGGGGAACAATGTGGTACCTGAGATCAAAACTGCGAGGCAGGGTCCACAAAGCTAGTGCAGGGAATAAGGCACTTGTCTTGCACCCTGTCGGTTTGGTTTGGATCCCCAGCATCCCATATGGTCCCCAAGACTGCCAGGAGTGATCCCTGAGTGCAGAGCCAGGACTAAACCCTGAGTACATCTAGGTGTGACCCCCAAACAACAACAACAAAAAACTGTAGAACAAGCCTTTCAAGTTTGTCAACTTCATTTTATTTATAAAGTTAGCCGGAAGAATTCTCTATGTCAGTACTTTAAGAAGTATCTACTAGATCTTATATCTCATTTGGAACAAACTTAAAGCAGCTTAGTAAGTTGTGTCCAAAGGTAGTCTGTAAACATGTCAACAACAGTAGTGTTTTTATCACAGTATATAAAGCATGCTTACAAAAATTTAATGTTTCATTAGAATAAAAATAAGGGACTGGGGGGCTGGAGCGGGTAGGGCGTTTGCCTTGCACACAGCCAACCCGGGTTTGATTCCCAGCATCCCATATGGTCCCCCGAGCAGTGCCAGGAGCAATTCCTGAGAGCAAAGCCAGGAGTGACCCCTATGCATCTCTGGGTGTGATCCAAAGAGCCAAAAAAAAAAACCATAAAGGACTGAAGGGCATCCTTTATATGTAGAAAGCTCTGGGTTTGATCCCCAGAACCCTTTTCCAAACCACCTCCATTCTCGACCACCGAACCAGGGGTAACTCAGATATGGCTCGCAAGCCAAAAAGAAAAAGAACATAAGGAAAAATACAAATTAGAGTAGCATTTAAATATAGTTTTCCTATTCAGAAATCAAAAGTATATGTAAGAATTGTTCAAACATTGTTAAGTAACTTGTAGGTTAATGTAGACTCTTTAAAAGAAACACGGTGGGGGGGGGGGGGTGCCTGGAAACAGGGTAAATATGCTTGCTTTGCACACATCATACCCAGATTCAATACTGGAATCCCATATGGTTCCCCATTTCTGCTAAGAGTCATCCTTGAGTACTGGTAGGTATAGCCCCAAACCAAAAAATGCATAACTTAAAAACATAAGATATTCTTTAAGACTGAGCAGACAAATGCTTTTGACAGTGAATTTGCTTCAGGATCGAAGATTCCAGAGGGATCCCAATGAATTGTGTAATAGGGGTTCCTGTATAGGTCTGGAACCCTCTGACATGCAGGCTACATCTTGAAATCATGAACCTGGTGGGGAATTTCTGCTGTGTTGGCCTCTCATGCAAAGCATGTGCTCCTCCCATTTGACTCATCTGCCTTGCCTGAAACTATAGCTCTTTCAGCTGCTGATTTCAACTGGCCAAAATACCAGACATGCAAGTTTTGGGCTTACTGCACACAGCCTGTCATTTATTTTGATCATCACTGTCTAAGTTCTTGGTATTTCTGGTCAAGTCCACAGCTTGCCTTCCAGTCACTTGCCCACCTCTGGGAGGGTTTCACGTATGTAGCTGGTAGAAACACCACAATGTCCTTCCTGTTTTGGCTAGGGTTTAGCCCTGAAAGCCACCAACCCTTTTTCTGTTTAGTTTTGGTTATGGTTTGGAGACCACCCCTGAAGGTACTTTCAAACCTTTTTCTCCTTTTTGTTTAATTTTGGTTTTGGTTTGGAGACTATACCTGACAGTGCTTACTTCTGGCTCTGTGCTCAGGGCTTACTTCTGGCAGTGCCAGAGATCCAACAAAGTTGCCATGGGCAAGACAAGCACCTTACCCCCTAACTCTTTGGAACAATCATTTTTTTCCTTGTGGGAGGAAATAAGGCTGGGAAAGATGATGTCCTTCCGTGCTTTGAAGAAAAAAATTAAAATCTTGTTAAGAAGATATTCATGGTAACAAAAAATAGACAATGGCAACATGATGTACATACTGTGTCAAGGTGCTTTTGTCTACACTAATGTCATTAAAGGACTGGACAAATGACAGCCACCTCTTCGTGCCTCTGGGGGTCCTCATCTGCGAAAAATAGGAATAATAGAATTGTAAGGATCAAATAAAATAATACTAAGTTCCTAGAAACCTAGCATGTAGTAAGAACTAAATAGTTGCGTGCAATCATTGTTAATTTTGATCAAATATATCATAGTTCACTCAGTACAAAAATTACATGTCTATTAAAGGTGATGATACAGGGCTGGAGAGAGTGCAGGGGTTAAGGCATTTTGCCTTGCATGCTGCCAACCAATCCTGGCTCATCTCCAGCAGCCAGTGTGACCCCAAAATTGAAAGCAAAGTGCTGATAGAGAATTTTACTTTCATAAAAAGACATCCAAATACATGTTTTTCAGAGCAGTTTAAAATTTGATAGAACTTTAAAATATCCCAAACTTGAAGTCTGAAAAGCAGTACATGAGAATATTATGTTGTTATCTCAGTGGTAAGATTGAGAACAATTTTTCCAGGGTGTGATCTTAGGTTTTGTTTTGGGGCCATACCTGAAAGTGTTGAGGTCTACTTCTGCCTCTGTGCTGGAGATTGTTCCCCAGCGGTGCTCATAATCTTAAGGTGCTGGGAATTGAACCTGGCCATCCCAAATGCAGAGCCTGAGCTCGATATTGTCTCTTTGGCCCAACAACATTTGATGCATTTCCCACGTTTTTATGATGAGCCTGTATATTTTTTGTTGTTGTTTGTTTTAGAACCACACCCAGCAGTCCTTCGGGACTACTACTGGCTCAGTGCTCAGGGTACACTCCTGGCAGTGCAGAGGGAAGAATAAGGATGGAACCTATATTTCTTTCAGTAGCAAAAAGTTAAAGCCCAACAATGTGAAACCTGTGGTATGTTTTTATTACTGATTCTTAATATTTTTAGGTGTCAGTACGAAACACTTAATTCATGTTTCATTATGAGAAATTATAGATTTTTCTGAGTCACCACTACCTAGAGGGTAAATGGAGGAGCATTTCTTCTCAACAGCTGGTTCTTAATTACTAGGCTAACAGAATCAAGTTACATCATGCCCACCTCAAGTTCCTGAGAAATGTCAGGGGCACATTCTCATAAGTGCCCTGTACCAGATCCATATATTTATGAGAATGCATTTGGTTGCTTTATGCTTCAGTAATGAGGCTGAAGTATTCTATTGCCAGCAATAAGCTAGTGATCATTTTGTTCACGACATCATCAATATGTGAGTAGTGGGAATAGTAAAGAAGTAGTACTTCAGCAGGACAGTACTTAGACAGTGTGCGACTCTGGATTTGATTTTCTCAGAAATAATCATTACTCATCCTGGAGAGCATTATCCATGTAGTCTAATCTGGAAGAATGACTGGGCATGTGAGTCCGTTTTGATGAATCTTCTCTAATTTTACAAATTTGATCCAAAGTAGTTCACTATTAAGTTTAACAGAAGGCCAAATGTAAAAAGTGAAATGGAAGTGGTAAGGAGCTAATTCAGTGGCTAGAGTATAGGGTTTGATCCCCACACATAGACCCCCATACCAAACGAATAATATCCAGGCACCACAAGGTATGACCCCCAAAGCCTGTCACTGTCACTGTCCTCCCAT